CTCCCAAAATGCTGGAAAGTGCCCATGCTGGAGTGTAATCGCACAATCTTGACTCACTGCAACCTCCACCTCCGGGGTCAAGCGATTCTCCGGCCTTAGCCTCCCAAGTAGCTGGGATCACAGGCGCATGCTACCATGCCCAGGTAATTTTTTTTTTTTTTTTTTTTTTTGGCATTTTTAGTAGAAACAGAGTTTCACCATGTCAGCCAGGCTGGTCTTGAACTTCTGACTTCAGGTGATCCGCCTGCCTTGGCCTCCCAAAGTGCTGGGATTACAGGTGTGAGCCACCATGCCCGGCCTAAAGCTTAGATTTTATAAGTAATCACAACCTAATAAAGACAACACAGAAAAATGTCTTAATAGGATGTAAAATCTTTGCTGCTTAGCCCAGCTACCAAAAAGGTAAAAAACAAAACAAAAAACCCTCTGCAGTGCATTCTTCCTTATGGGAAAATAAGATAACCTGGAAGTCAAACTTGATTTTAAAAGGGGGTAGTTGGGCCAAGCACGGTGGCTCACGCCTGTAATACCAGCACTTTGGGAGGCCGAGGCGGGTGGATCATGAGGTCAGGAGATCGAGACCATCCTGGTCAACATGGTGAAACCCCGTCTCTACTAAAATACAAAAAAATTAGCTAGGCGTGGTGGCTCACGCCTGTAGTCCCAGCTACTCAGGAGGCTGAGGCAGGGGAATTGCTTGAACCCTGGGCGACAGAGGATGCCATGAGCCGAGATCGTGCCACTGCACTACAGTCTGAGCGACAGAGCAAGACTCCATCTCAAAAAAACAGTGGGGGTGTAGTGGGAAGGTACCTGAATTTAATCACACACAGGAAGAACATATAAGGTTATGAGTATATGCCATGTTATAAAGGAATATAAATAAGAAAACTAATACTTAAACAGAGAAGTGCATGGCTCTTAGTAACAGGAAGGTATGTTTCCTGGTTACATGGAATAATTCAGGCATATCAAAAAAAGTCAAGGATATAGAATCAAGGTATATTGAAAGAAAACATCTTCATTTTAGGCCCTGAAGATAAACTGTTAGTGTCAGGCCATAATAGCAGAGTTAGAATCGGCGGGGAAAAGTTACAGGAGCTGATGAAAAAGCTGAAGAAGAGAGCTCTCGTCTTAGGCCTTCTGAAGGGAAAAAAAGTTGAAGACAATGTTGTTACCAGAAAAGCACATGTAGCAAGACACACAAAAATTCTGTTTCTGATATATGAATCTGATAAACCTCAAAAGTAAAAATTTAGTTCAAGAAATGAAATTACCATTTTAAGAGGACAGCATTTTAAACCTGAAACTAAGGAAATTAAATTGATCTCAGGAAGAAGAATCTATTAAAAAATAGATTCTAGAGGCCGGGTGCAGTGGCTCACACCTGTAATACCAGCACTTTGGGAGGCTGAGGCAGGCAGATCACTTGAGGTCAAAAGTTTGAGATCAGCCTGGCCAACATGGTGAAACTCCATCTCTACTGAAAAAATAGAAAAATTAGCTGGGCATTGGCGCATGCCTATAATCTCAGCTACCTGAGAGGCTGAGGCAGAAGAATCACTTGAACCCAGGAGGCAGAGCTTGCAGTAAGCCAAGATTGCACCACTGCACGCCAGCATGGGCAACAGAGTGAGACTCTGTCTCAAAACCAAACCAAACCAACCAAACAAACAAAAAACAGATTCTAGAATTAAAATAAAAACCTTTTGCAATTTTATTAAAGCCAGATCAAAACTTTAATAAAATCTTGTTTAAATATATAGGACCAGACTTCCATCTTCTACTAGTGCACCCCAACATCTATGTTTAATTTTAATATTTTTTTTGGCTCTAGTACTTGCCATAATTTTAATTTTTTATTTTACCTTTTCATAGGTATTGAAGTTTAATTTTTAGGAAAATATATACTTTTCCAATCACAGCCATTTAATCCTTTTATTTATTTACTTATTTATTTATTTATTTATTTATTTTGAGACGGAGTTTCGCCCTTGTTACCCAGGCTGGAGTGCAATGGCGCGATCTGGGCTCACCGCAACCTCCGCCTCCTGGGCTCAGGCAATTCTCCTGCCTCAGCCTCCTGAGTAGCTGGGATTACAGGCACGTGCCACCCTGCCCAGCTAATTTTTTGCACTTTTAGTAGAGACGGGGTTTCACCATGTTGACCAGGATGGTCTCGATCTCTCGACCTCGTGATCCACCTGCCTCGGCCTCCCAAAGTGCTGGGATTACAGGCGTGAGCCACCGCGCCCGGCGCTATTTATTTATTTTTTATTTTTTTTATTTTTTTTTATTTTTTTATTTTTTGAGACGGAGTTTCGCCCTTGTTACCCAGGCTGGAGTGCAATGGCGCGATCTCGGCTCAGCGCAACCTCCGCCTCCTGGGCTCAGGCAATTCTCCTGCCTCAGCCTCCTGAGTAGCTGGGATTACAGGCACGTGCCACCATGCCCAGCTAATTTTTTGCACTTTTAGTAGAGACGGGGTTTCACCATGTTGACCAGGATGGTCTCGATCTCTCGACCTCGTGATCCACCCGCCTCGGCCTCCCAAAGTGCTGGGATTACAGGCTTTAGCCACCGCGCCTGGCCCTATTTATTTTTTTTAAGAGATGCAGGCTGGTCGTGGTGGCTCACGCCTGTAATCCAAGCACTTTGGAGGCCAAGGCAGGTGGATTACCTGAGGTCGGGAGTTCAAGACCAGCCTGACCAATATGGTGAAACCCCGTCCTTAAAAATAATAATAATAGCCGGGCGCAGTGGCTCGCACCTGTAATCCCAGCACTTTGGGAGGCCGATGTGGGTGGATCACGAGGTCAAGAGATCGAGACCATCCTGGTCAACATGGTGAAAACCCGTCTCTACTAAAAATACAAAAAATTAACTGGGCTTGGTGGCGCGTGCCTGTAATCCCAGCTACTCAGGAGGCTGAGGCAGGAGAATTGCCTGAACCCAGGAGGCAGAGGTTGCGGTGAGCCGAGATTGCGCCATTGCACTCCAGCCTGGGTGACAAGAGTGAAACTCCGTCTCAAAATAAAAAAAAGAAATAATAATAATAATAATAAAATAAAGAGATGCAGTCTCACTCTGTTGCCCAGGCTGGAGTGCAGTGATCCTACAGAGCTCTGATCAAGTGGTTTGTGAGAAGGCAGCACATGCCACGGGAACCACCCCATGAAAAACCACAGTAGGTGAAGATCACCCTGTGCAGGTATATGGCTGGGAAGAACTGAACACCGCAAAGTCAATGCTCAGTGATCCCACAATCAATGACCATGTCATTGCCCACTGGGACTTACAAGAGACAGCTGGCAGAAAACTTCTACTAGAATGAGGGAATGTGGCAGAAGGGACAGAAAAGTCACAGATCCTTACAGGTAACCTGGCCAGGAAAAGACCCAGCTGCATGTGATATGCCACACAGGGCGTTGAGGGGTGGGACTTCTGGCACCGCCATCACGGTCCTCATTTTGCCGCTGGTGGGTTGGGCTACAGGAGGCCTCAGGAGCCGGACAAGGGCGCAGGAGTGGGTGCAGGGACTGTCACTGTAGCTTTGCAGAAGGTGTTATTTATGCAGCAGCTAGGGATAAGTAGCAGGACACTGGCCAGTGCCAGGGCCAGCAGCACCTCCCATAGGGAACAAGGGAAAGGCAAAGGAAAACAGATTTCAAATGCAGGGGAAAGAGGAGACACAGTAGCCTTACCTAGTGAGCACAGGAGTACAAAGCTCTCTAGTATCATGCCACTGTAGAAGCCCCCCTGGACCTCCCTAAGGAGCCAACATTTTTGGAAGCTGTACTGATCTTGTCCTCAAAGGTCACCAAGCCCTGCAACACCAAGCCAATGGGCAGACAGATGAGATATAACCACTGGGCACGAGCCCTAGTCATTGGTCCTTAGTTTCAACACTTTACACTCACCTCGAGGGTGCATCTGTAGCTGCAACCTAAAACCCTCCTTCCCATATCCTACCTTCAGGCCCTTCCCTGGTCCAGACCACCAACATAATGCAGTCTGGACTTCGTGAAGCCGCACCAGAATTTGATGTATCCAGGGGCTCATTTGACACCCCCACTCACAGGTCTCCAGACAATTTACATTCTATACCTACAAAATCCATCCTCCTCCTGCCAACCGCCAACCTCTATTCTCCATAGGAGGCATCCTAATTCTTCCTAAATACTTAGGATGGTTCTTCACCCCTACGCATGCCTACTCTACTTCTCTAAGGTAACAAGAAATTCCATCAAGTCTACCTGGAAGATGTATTAGGATCACTTCTCCCATCACTCTCGCTTCCCTTCTGGACAGGCCACTATCATAACCGTCCGGAACAATACTGAAATAACCTCCCCATAGTGTCCCTGCTTCCAGCCCCGCTACAACCACCTTCTCCAGTAGTGTGTTCATTCAGCAGCCACTGGAATACTTCCAAAATTCTGTTTTTTGTTTTTTTTTTTTTTGAGACGGAGTTTCGCTCTTGTTACCCAGGCTGGAGTGCAATGGCGCGATCTCGGCTCACCGCAACCTCCGCCTCCTGGGTTCAGGCAATTCTCCTGCCTCAGCCTCCTGAGTAGCTGGGATTATAGGCACGCGCCACCATGCCCAGCTAATGTTTTGTATTTTTAGTAGTGACGGGGTTTCACCATGTTGACCAGGTTGGTCTCGATCTCTCGACCTCGTGATCCACCCGCCTCGGCCTCCCAAAGTGCTGGGATTACAGGCTTGAGCCACCGCGCCCGGCTATACTTCCAAAATTCTAACTCAGATCATGCCCATCCCTTTTCCGTCCAAAACCTTTCATGGCTCCCAGCACCCTCAGTGTCAGGAGAGGCAGGACTCCTCCTTCGCTCTCCACTGGCTGCCGAGGGGGCACGGGAGCCTTCCTGAACGCTCGGCTCAGTCTCACGTCTAAGTCTTCGCATATGCAGATCCCTCCTCCTGTACCCTCCACGCCTCAACAAACTGGATTCTGAAACGGTGACACCCCCTTCCCCCACCTGTGAACGCTCCACACTGTTCGGTAGGGCCGCGGGGGACCTGGGCAGATACTCCTCAATCAGAGAGTTAGGACAATGGGGATGAGTCCAACCGAGTGGGTGCCAGGAGACCCTTGGCACACGTTCCATGCCTGGAGCTGTCCGCACGCTGGGTCAAGACCGCCAAACGCTTTTCTTGGCTTCGGCCTCGCGCCCCATAAAGCCGACACAACTGCCAGTGACGACCCCCGGAAGCCGCGGACACCTCCGCGCGGTGCGGCCTGAGGGTCCCACTGGGCCGGCTTTATCTACGGCAGCGGGGAACGCTGGGGCTCGCGGGGGCGACATTCGTCGCGGCAGGGGCGGAACTTCCCCGAGTCTCGTGCCTTCCTCGCTCCTTTCATGGGCCCAGAAGGCTCCCAAGATTACGTCCCTCGCCTGGAAACGCGGTCCCTTCCGGTGCAGACAAAACCGATAAATGCCAAAGTGATAGTCCGAGGACGACGACGGAAGTCCCGCTTGCAGGCTGTGATTGGCCATCGTCTTTACGCCCCGCCCGGAAGTGCCCTTCTCCTGGGCTGCCAATGCCAGCTCCGGTGCTCTGCGAGGGTCCTTCTGGGTAATGTAGTTTGCGTTGCGTGAGCGGCGACGCGTCACACGCAGTTCTTCAATCCCCTTGGCAACGACATAGACGCAGAGTGACGAGGACAGGGAACAGTATCATAGTCGGTAGCGTGCCCTGAGCCAATGAAGGCTCCGACGAGGGGCGGGACTTCCGGCGCCGCCGTCGCGGTCCTCAGTTTGAGGCTGGCGGGTTGGGCTGCAGCAGGCCTGCGGAGCTGGACCACCGCGCGGGAGTGGGTGCAGGGCCGTCACCGCGCATGCGCACACACCCTAGCCCCAGACTCACGACTCTGCTTTTCTGAACCAAGGTGATCCCGAAAGTTGGAGCCAGCGCCACGGGTCTCCGGAGTCTCCTGACCCAACTTTCGTGCCTGCGGTGCCCGGAGGCGGCTCCCTGTTCCTTGTATCTGGGAAGACAGGCCCCGAGTGCGACCGTCAGCCCATGTTCGCGCCACCCAGTGGAGGTGTGAGGGTCCGGCTGAGCGAGCCCTGGCACCTCCTGTTATGGCACTGCCCAGCCCACAGGTTCCAGTGGGGTTGCCGGCGTCGCTGATGGGCCCGGCGCAGGTGAGTGGAGTGTGCCCCGGGTCCTCTCCGCTGGGATTCCGGCCCTCAGGATCCTGAAGCCCAGATACAGGGGATGTTGGTGTCCTGGGAAGCCTGGCTGTGTCCTGTCCTCACACATGGGTCTTGGGCCCTGTGTGAGGGTCACTTACCCTTGCGATCCTGAATCCAGGCCAGGGGTTATATCGAGGGATTCTCATTTCTGGAATCCTATGGAATGAAATCGGGAAGGCTGTCCCAGGCACAGGGACCCGGCATGTGTGCCTTGCCTAGTGGTGATGACATGGAAGCATCCCAGGGACTGCAGATCTCCATTTAGTCTGGTGGAAACAGAGCACGTAAACCAGACTTAGGCCTGGAATGGCAGCCTGAGGAGCTGGGCCTGCATTCTGATGGTGGTGTCAACCATGGAAGGTTTGGAGCAGAGGAAGGAGGTGCTCTGACTCCAGTCTTAACAGACTCCCTATAGATGCCTAGTGGAGAGCAGACTGGAGGGATGCTGAGGGTGGAGCAGGAAGGCCAGTGAGGGGCTGACGGACGTAGTCCAGATGTGTGCTTTGGGCAGCTGGACAGCAGGGTACCTGTGGAGGTACGACAAATGCTTGGCTTCTGAATCTGCCCAAATTGGGCCGTAGATTACCTGATGTGGGACAGTGAAAGTGAGATGTTGAGATTGACCTTAGGCTGGGCGCAGTCGTATACGCCTGTAATCCCAGCACTTTGGGAGGCTGAGGCGGGCAGATCACTTGAGGTCAGGAGTTTGAGACCAGCCTGGCTCACATGGCGAAACCTCATCTCTGCTAAAAATACAAAAAAATTACCTGGGGCATGGTAGCATGCACCTGTAATCCCAGCAACTTGGGAGGCTGAGGCAGAATTGTTTGAATGTGGGAGATGGAGTTTGCAGTGAGCTATTAGGCCACTGTACTCCAGCCTGAGTGACAGACCGAGACTCTGTCTTTAAAAAAAAAAAAAATTGACGTTTCATCTTTCAGATGTGGAAGTTTGTGTGAGGAATAGATTTCAGGGAGAAGATCAAAAGAGTTGGATTTTGGCCATGTTGTATTTGAGATGTCCCAGAGACTGCCAAATTGAGGTGCCAAGTGGACCTCTAACATGCAATTATGAAATAACGTCGGGTTTAGATTGGAAACATCCAACGGATGGATGCTTGTGTGTGGACATTGCATGCGATTGTTGGTTGGGTCTGAGATAGTGGCCAAGCCTCCTGAGCAGAGAGTAGGTCCAGGACAAAGAGGAAGCACAGCAATAGAAGCATGAGAGCTGGGCTTTGGTTTAGGTTGACTTACCTCTCTGCAGCTCACTGCATTTTTGTGGCCTTCCTTTTTATGGTCAGGGCATGTTATCTCCTCTTAAGTGGGATCCTGGGGTTTTTGTCAGGCTGGTGGAGTGGCAAGATCACAAAGGGTCAGCCTAAGCTGAGTCCCCAAGCCAAGGTGGGGCCAGTTGAGTCTTGGATTTGAGTGTTAGGAATAGCAGAGACAGCTGTGACTAGGAAGGAGACAACACATACAAAGGCAACGTTGTAAGAGGGAAAAGATATTTGAGATCTGCTTTTGATTCTCGGCAGCTGATGGTTGAAGGAACAGGGCAAGGAAGGGAAGCATTGACTTCAGGGCTATGGCTGCCTCTGGCAGTGGAGTATTTGGAACTCTATAGCTGGCTTGGACCAGGATTGGATCCTGGTTGTGTCTGTCAGGAATCCTATGCACATGGTGAGATGCTAGGGAGAAGCCTGCAGTATGAACAGGGAGGGATGGAAACAAGAATTGTCTGGTCTGAGGAGTGACATGTAAAGGTGAGGGAATGTGAACCATTGGACCCATGGCCCTGGTACAAGAGTCATAAAGAGAAAGGAAAGCCCAGATTTTCTTGCTTGGGAGGTATGAGCCAGAAGACACAAGGAAAATTGGCCAGTAGGAGGGAGGAGGCAGCATCCTTCTGCCCATCGGCCTGTTGCTTCTCTAGGTTGGGTTGTCCTGGATACAGTGACCAGTCAGACTACTAGGAGAGGGAGGGACACCATTAAGTCCAGGGCATGTTAAGTGAGGCCCTGGGGAAGATAAGCTGTGGGTGAGTAGTAGATGGACTGAGAGAATCATAAGAAAAAGAGATGTCAGTGGTAGATGTGTCAGAATTGTGAGTCACATGGCAAGGGCCTACATATTTCCATTTGATCATGTTTGTTTCTTTTTCAGCATACCTGTTGGCCCTGTGGCTCAGCTGTCCCCTCATTGAAGAGCCTGGTAACCTTTGAAGATGTGGCTGTATATTTCTCCCAGGAGGAGTGGGGGCTCCTTGATGCAGCCCAGAGGCACCTGTATCACAATGTGATGGTGGAAAACTTTGAGCTCATTACCTCACTTGGTAATGCCCTGCCCCAGCATGGTGGTGACCAGCTTATGCCCTGTGTCTCTTCCCCATAGAAAGTTCTGTTCATGCCAAAGCCAGATCATGGGTACTGCTTCCTTCTCAGGTTTCCTGTTGTAGGTGCTGGGGTGCTGAGACTCTGCTATGTGTACTTCCTCTGTCTCTCTTCTGAGTAGCCTCACGAGCTTTCCTAATAGCTGTTGCCCAGGAGCCTTGTGGAGGCAAAGGTTGGAGATCAGACATCTCCAGTCTGCCTAACAGATCCCACTGAACTTCACCAATCCCTGGTTCGGTTACCTAGTATGAGGCCATGCCCAGATTCTGTTTCTTTCCCCAATGAGATATTTTTAAAAGATAGTTTTATTAAGATAAGACATACATTCACCTTTTTTTTTTTTTTTTTTTTTTTTTTTTATCCGACACGAAGTCTTGCTATGTCTCTAGGCTGGAGTGTAGTGGTGCGATCTTGGCTCACTGCAACCGCTGCCTCCTGGGTTCAAGTGATTCTCACCTCAGCCTGCTGAGTACTTGGGAGTACAGGCGCATACCACCACACCTAGCTAATTGTTGTATTTTTAGTAGAGACGGGGTTTCCCCATATTGGCCAGGCTGGTCTCAAACTCCTGACCTCGTGATCCGCCTGCTTCAGCCTCCCAAAGTGTTGGGATTACAGGCGTGAGCCACTGCATCCAGCCACTATTCACCCTTTAAGGTATACAGGTTAGTCTCAAAAAAAAAAAAAAAGTATATAGTTCAGTAATTTTTATGTTTTTGCATGGTATAATCATTGCTATAATGTAATTTTAGCATGTTTTCATCAGCTAAAGAGAAACTTTAGGTCTCATTAGCAGTCCCATTAGCTGTCACTCCCCATCTTCCCTTATCCCTTCTTTCCCCCTGGTCCTAGGCAACTATGAATCTACTTCTTGACTATATAGACTTACCTTTCCTAGCTATTTTATAGAAATTGACTCTTACCATGTGTTTTTCTGTGACTGGCTTTCTCTTAACATGGTTTTGAAGTTCATCAATTTCGTAGCATGTATCAGTATTTCATTCTTTTTTACAGCCAAATACTCCAGTGTATAGATAGGCTACAGTTTGTTTATCCATTTATCAGTTGATGAGAATTTGGCTTGTTTCCATTTTTTTAGGTATCGGAAAAATGCTGCTGTAGAAGCTGGGTGAGGTGCCTACAATCCAGCTGCCCAGGAGGCTGAGGCAGGAGGATAACTTGAGCTCAGAAGTTTGAGACCAATCTGGGTGACATAGCAAGACCTCCATCTCAATTTTTAAAAATATACTGCCATGAATGGTCTTGTACACATTTTTGTGTAGATATGCTTTTAGTTCTCTTGTGTAGCTCTGTAGGAGCACACTTGCCAAACTGTTTTCCAGACTGGCTACCCCATTTTACATCCCTATCTGCAGTGTATAAGTGCTGCAGTTTTTCTACTTCATCTCCATTTGTTGCTGTTTATTTATTTATTTATTTATTTTTTTGAGACGGAGTTTCACTCTTGTTACCCAGGCTGGAGTGCAATGGCGCGATCTCGGCTCACCGCAACCTCTGCCTCCTGGGTTCAGGCAATTCTCCTGCCTCAGCCTCCTGAGTAGCTGGGATTACAGGCACGTGCCACCATGCCCAGCTAATTTTTAGTATTTTTAGTAGAGACGGGGTTTCACCATGTTGACCAGGATGGTCTCGATCTCTCGACCTCATGATCCACCCGCCTCGGCCTCCCAAAGTGCTGGGATTACAGGCTTGAGCCACCGCGCCCAGCCGCTGTTTATTATAGCTATGCTAGTGGGTGTGAAGTTGTATCTGACTGTGGTTTTGGTTTGCATGCTCCTAATGATTAAGGATGCTGAACTTCTTTTCAAATGCTTATTGATCATTTGTGTCTATCTCTTCTTTTGGGGAAATGTCTATTTAAGTCCTTTGACCCATTTCTGTGTCCTTACCCTAGTGAGGTCTCCCTTATTCTGTTGCTTGGCTGGTCCCTATCCTGCATAATAATGCGCCCTTCTTCACCCTGATGATGGTCCTGTCGGCCTGTCAACAATCCCTGGGACCTCTTCTTGGGTGTGAATTCCTGGGTAACACATTTCTTTTTTTTTTTTTTTTTTTTGAGATGGAGTTTCGCTCTCGTTACCCAGGCTGGAGTGCAATGGCGCGATCTCGGCTCACCGCAACCTCCGCCTCCTGGGTTCAGGCAATTCTCCTGCCTCAGCCTCCTGAGTAGCTGGGATTACAGGCACGCACCACCATGCCCAGCTTGTTTTTTGTATTTTTAGTAGAGACGGGGTTTCACCACATTGACCAGGATGGTCTCGATCTCTCGACCTCGTGATCCACCCGCCTTGGCCTCCCAAAGTGCTGGGATTACAGGCTTGAGCCACCGCGCCCGGCTGGGTAACACATTTCTAATGAAGGCATCCATTACCACCAAGTGGAATACCTACTTACCTGGCATTTCTCTACTTTCAGGTTGCTGGCATGGAGTAGAGGGTGAGGAGGCCCATCCCAAGAAGAATGCTTCTGTAGAAGAGGTGTTAAAGGTCAGGATTGCAAATGCAGATCCCTCCACCCAGAAGGCTAACCCCTGTGACATGTGTGGGTCATTCTTGAAAGACGTTTTGCACCTGCCTGAGCATCAGGGAACATACTCTGAGGAGAAACTCTACTCATGTGGAGCATGTGGGAGAGAGTTTTGGTTGAGTGCATACCTTCACCAGCACCAGGAGTATAGTAGAGGGAAGCCCTTCAGATGGTATAAGGACAGAGAAGCACTTATGAAGAGCTCTGAAGTCCACCTGTCAGAGAACCCCTTGACTTGCAGGGAAGGTGGGAAGGCCATCCTGGTCAGCCGTGACCTCCTCCAGCTTCAAGCTGTTGACAGCAGGAGGAAGCCATATTCCAATCTTGGGCAGATTCCAGAACTCTGTACCACACAGAAACTCTTCAAGTGCAGCAACTGTGGAAAAGCGTTCCTGAAAAGCTCCACTCTCCTCAACCATTTGAGAACTCACTCTGAAGAGATAACATTTAGATGCCCAACAGGTGGAAATTTCTTAGAGGAGAAATCAACCCTTGGTAATCAAAAACTTCACACTGGGGAAATAGCCCACGTGTGCAAGGAGTGTGGAAAGGCCTTTGGTCACCCATCTAAGCTGAGGAAGCACCAGAAACTTCACACTGAAGTAAAATATGAGTGCACTGAAAGTGCGAGAACCTTCAACCACAAACTCACATTTGTTCATCATCAGAGAATTCACCCAGGAGAAAGACATTACGAGTGCAGTCAATGTGGGAAAGCCTTCAATAGCAGATCACACCTCATTAGACATGAAAAAGTTCACACTGGAGAAAGGCCTTTTGAGTGCCTGAAATGTGGAAGAGCCTTCAGCCAAAGCTCCAATTTCCTTCGGCACCAGAAAGTTCACACCAAGGTCAGACCTTATGAGTGTAATCAGTGTGGTAAATCCTTCAGCCGAAGCTCTGCTCTCATTCAGCACTGGAGAGTTCACACTGGAGAAAGACCATATGAATGCAGTGAATGTGGAAGAGCTTTTAATAATAACTCCAACCTTGCTCAGCACCAGAAAGTTCACACTGGAGAACGGCCTTTTGAGTGCAGTGAATGTGGAAGAGACTTTAGCCAAAGCTCCCATCTCCTTCGACATCAGAAAGTTCACACTGGAGAACGGCCTTTTGAATGCAGTGAATGTGGTAAAGCCTTCGGCAATAGCTCCACCCTCATCCAGCACCAGAAAGTACATACTGGGCAAAGGCCTTATGAGTGCAGCGAATGTAGGAAATCCTTCAGCCGCAGCTCCAGCCTGATTCAGCACTGGAGAATTCACACTGGAGAAAGGCCTTATGAATGTAGTGAGTGTGGGAAAGCCTTCACTCATAGTTCTAGTCTCATTGAACACTGGAGAGTTCACACAAAAGAAAAGCCTTATGAGTGCAATGAATGTGGGAAATTCTTTAGCCAAAACTCCATTCTCATTAAGCATCAGAAAGTTCATACTGGAGAAAAGCCTTATAAGTGCAGTGAATGTGGGAAATTCTTTACCCGAAAATCTAGCCTTATTTGTCACTGGAGAGTTCACACTGGAGAAAGGCCTTATGAATGCAGAGAATGTGGAAGAGCCTTCAGCAATAACTCCCACCTGGTTCGTCATCAGAGAGTTCACACAAAAGAAAGGCCCTATGAGTGCATCCAGTGTGGAAAAGCCTTTAGTGAAAGATCTACACTTGTTCGGCACCAGAAAGCTCATACCAGAGAAAGGATTTATAAGTGTAGCCAGTGTGGGAAAGTCTTCGGCCATCTTTGTAACCTTGCTCAGCATAGAAAGATTCATACCTGAGTGGAGCCTTATGGGAGTGGTCTTTATGAGAAAATCTTCAGCCAAGTCAAACTTCTGCAGTAAAATCCCCTATATTAGAATTTATCTGTGTGTACTCCTAATGTGGAAAAGTGTTTAGAAGCTACTCTGTTCTTTCTCACCAGCCCAGAAAACTTTGCAGGGCCATTTCACCCATGGAGCATAAGGCAGAAGCCATAGCCACTTTCCATCTTGCCTGGATCCAAAAATTTGCAGCAGTCCTGTCCTCATGCATGGGAAAACAGATCCCTGAGCCTCCCTTACCCTGTCCTGAAGGGATTCAGGATGGTCCTCAGCTCACTAAAGTGGTTTGATTCCCATTGCCTCTGAGAGGGTTAGGCACTGAACTGAACCCATGCTGGTCAAGGAGCCTTGAGGGAAATCTAATTTGAGCTCAGGAAGAAATCAAGTCTGTGTTTAACCCCTAAGATTGTCCATTGAGACCACAAATCGCCCCCCACCGGAATAACCTACCTTGTCTGCACTATAATGTGTGATAATAAAGACCTTATTGACGAGGTCACCTTTTAGTCTTAGGGATTCTGTTGGAGTAGGTTGAGAAAATGAATGGATAGAGTCGGGGCACGAAATCTGCCTAAGGGCACAGTAGAAGAGCAGGTAGTTGCCCTGTCCTGTTGTAGCCTATTTCACATTGCTATGTGAAGGACTGGGAAAGACTGAAAGGCTCTGGACCGAACATAGTGGCCTATGTTTCAGAGTTACCTTAGGGCCCAGAGCTTACCCTGAGGAAAAATAAATGTCTACAACACTAAAATAGTCACAGGGTCACCAAGGCAAAACCTAGAGGGAAAAAAAATTTAAAAATAGAAGAAGAAAAAAAAAAAACCAGGCCGGGCGCGGTGGCTCAAGCCTGTAATCCCAGCACTTTGGGAGGCCGAGGCGGGTGGATCACGAGGTCGAGAGATCGAGACCATCCTGGTCAACATGGTGAAACCCTGTCTCTACTAATAATACAAAAAAAAAAAACTAGCTGGGCGTGGTGGCACGTGCCTGTAATCCCAGCTACTCAGGAGGCTGAGGCAGGAGAATTGCCTGAGCCCAGGAGGCGGAGGTTGCGGTGAGCCGAGATCGCGCCATTGCACTCCAGCCTGGGTAACAACAGCGAAACTCCGTCTCAAAAAAAAAAAAAGAAAAAAAAAAACCTAGAGGGGCCCAGGGAGTACTCCATGTGCATAGAGAAACACTGGATGTGAGGTAATAAATAGGGATTTGGGGAGACTGTAGTAAACTAGGGCACATGCTATCCTGGACAAAGGAATAGCCATAGTTCCCCATCAACTGTGACTGCAGGGTGAGGGTGTGCAGAACAACTCCAGAGCTGCAGACCTTCATATTTGCCAAGTTAAAGTTTCTGCCACAGTTAAAACAGATAAATGCAATTTTGTGTGCATTCACTTCACTTCTCTTGAACTGTATCTTGGCACCCATGACTCCCCAGGTAGGAACTGGGGACTGAGAAAAGTGACAGCCTATAGTCCAGGAAAGTGGTTTTTATAGTCTGGCCAGGGTTTCTGGTCAATAACACACACTTCGTGGTTTCACAGTCTTGCTGGCCAACAGAGTGGGCACAGGCAGATGGGGGTATTTAACACAGTTGACAGATCTGGTATTTTAGAAAAAGCTTGAGATCCAGAACCTTGTAGAATATGGTGCTTGGCACCTATTTTTAAAAGCTTATTTACCATGTAATTTCAGCATAATCTACATGTGAGCTGTTGCTGTTTCCCTGACCTCCCTCATACAAGGAAGTACTCATGAGAGCATTGGCTGGGATGTGAATAGGAGTCCCCATAAGGGAGAGATCTGGCCAGGTGCAGTGGTGCACACCTACAGTCCCAGCCACTTGAGAGGTTGAGGCAGGAGGATCTCTTGAGCGCAGGAGTTTGCGTCCACCTGGGCAACATGGCAAGGCCCCATCTCTAAAAAAGAAAAGAGTGGGCTGGGTGCAGTGGCTCAAGCCTGTAATCCCAGCACTTTGGGAGGCTGAGGCGGGCAGATCATGAGGTCAGGAGATCAAGGCCATCCTGGCCAACATGTTGAAACCCCATCTCTACTAAAAATACAAAAAACAAAATTAGCTGGGTGTGGTGGCGCACGCCTGTAGTCCCAGCTACTCAGGAGGCTGAGGCAGGAGAATTGCTTGAACTCAGGAGGCAGAGACTGCAGTGAGCCGAGATTGTGCCACTGCACTACAGCCTGGGAGACAGTGCGAGAGCCCGTCTCCCAAAAAAAAAAAAAAAAAAAGCAAAGGGTAGCCTGGGCTCACATCATTGAACAACAGTTTCAGTAGCCACTGCTGCTGCCAATTTGTCCTAGATCCCTCTCTGTTCTCCCTGCCCATGTGAATGTCACTGAACAGGCTCAGCAGTGGGGTGTGTGACAGGGCCAGTACTCCATGACTGGTCATTCCTCACCCTGACCATGGCACCCTTAGCCTGCCAAAGATTGTACTCCTGGCTGAATGTTAGGCAGGATACTCCAGAGAGAAACCCCACACAGGAGTGGTTCAAACCTTCAACAACATTAATGGTGGAGATGTGACACGGCTCACAGTCTGAATTGTAAAGAGCACTTTTCATGCACAGCAGAACTCACAAGTGAGAGGACTCTAGGGCCAGGCATTTGTGAAGACTTTCCAGGGTAACTATCCCCTTTCCAGCACTGGAGTACCAGAATAATGAGAAGCTCAAAAGAATGTGGAAGGCCGGGCACGGTGGCTCATGCCTGTAACCCCAGCACTTTGGGAGGCCGAGGCAGGTGGATCATGAGGTCAAGAGATCGAGACCATTCTGGTCAACATGGTGAAACCCTGTCTCTAATAAAAATACAAAAATTAGGCCGGGTGCAGTGGCTCAGGCCTGTAATCCCAGCACTTTGGGAGGCCGAGATGGGTGGATCACGAGGTCAAGAGATCGAGACCATCCTGGTCAACATGGTGAAACCCCCGTCTCTACTAAAAAATCCAAAAAAAATTAGCTGGGCATGGTGGCGCGTGCCTGTAATCCCAGCTACTCAGGAGGCTGAGGCAGGAGAATTCCCTGAACCCAGGAGGCAGAGGTTGCGGTGAGCCGAGATCACGCCATTGCACTCCAGCCTGGGTAACAAGAGGGAAACTCCGTCTAAAAAAAAAAAAAAAGAATGTGGAAATGCCTTCCTTTCTCCATCACCAGAGCACCCATGGCACAGGGAAGCCATTAAGAGCTGAGTAGGAAGATGTTGCCACACAGCTCCAACATCAGTTAACACTGGGCAGGCCACGAGAAAGAAGCCCTTCAAGAGCACTGGCTACGGGGAGCCTCCATGAAGACTTCAGCCCTCTTTAACCACCTAAGAACCCACACTGAAGACTCTTGAAACACTTGGTATGAAGAAAGACACTCAAGAAGAAATCAATCCTTATCCATAACCAAAAATTCACATTAGAGAAAACCCCTGCATGTAAGGAATACAGGATGGTCTTCAGTCACCTCTCCTATGTGAGAAACCAATATAAAATGCCTATGGGAAAAAGGCATTACAAGTGCAGTGAAAATGGGAAAGCCTTGAGCTATAGACACCCCCTTTCAAGAAGAATCACCAGAGAATTCACAACAGAGTTACGGAAAACAAATGTGGGAAAGCCACAGCTCCCAGAATCTTAGGCAGCACTCTATTACTGCTGCCTAAGAGTAACAGGTAACTAATATAGATTAGTAATAGGTAACTAATACAGAAAGGTTTCTCTTCATGGACTTTTTTTTGCATCTACATGTGACACTTGGGAATGATTTGTTTAGTCTCAATGACCCAGACCTAGATCTGCCTGTCTCTGAGATAACAAAGGCCTTGATGATTAGCCGCTTGCCTCAGAGGTGGTGAGGTGAGTTTAAAGACTTTTTACGGGGGGCACTAAGTGAGTGTCTGATTGGGCTGAAAGAGCTCTCAGTCCAGATTTGGTTGAATTTGCCTTGTTGCCCTAAGGCCTCCTGTGAAAGACTGACAGGCTCTGTGGACTGAATCTTGTAGTCCGGACACTAAGAGTCACTGTGGGGCCAGACAGAGCTAGCTCTGAAAAATGGGGTGCTTTCTTTGAGAACCTCCAACAGCAAAAGTCTGGTCCTCTGTTCCCAGTGCATGTCCTACTTTATTAGCTATGTGCCCCAGGACCTGCCCCTGGTCATGACTCATGAAATATAGAACTCAGTAGGCAGGTATAACTGGTTCACACCTGCCAGGGCTATGTGGAAATTATCATTGGTACAAAACTCTAGGTGTGGAGAACACTGGTAAACAAGAAGGGACATGTCTGTTCTAAAGGCACATTAGAAAATGGCCAAGTGACATAAGGGTATATACAACGTCTCAGGACATGCAGACCTACCTGTCACTCCTAACTGAAATCCAGATAAATGCTTTGTGGATTCCTGTGGACTCTGGGCTGTTCATCTCATGGCCATCAGTGCATAGGTAGGAACCTCAAGACAGAGAAGACAGAAATCATGGTCTAGAGTGGCTTATGTTAGTAGCCAGGGTTTCTAGAGAGTCACATGGCCAGGGCCTTCAAAATTCCACTTACGGCTGAAGAGGTCTGCCTCTCTTAAGGTGTGGGGAAACAATATGGTGGAGTCTTCCTGGTTTTGCAAGAAGAGCCAAATATTTGGATTTTTATGTGGCATCTGATTTCATAAATGTTGAAAATCATTTCCAAAAACATTTCAATACAAACTCAGTTCACCAAAACTATAAGTTGGCTTTGTATATTTCCCTGGGTCCTCCTGAGGCCTAGGGGAGAAAAGACCAGAAATCCCCTGACATGAAGCTCTTTGGCCTGTGGTGTCCATCCATGCTATATGACAGGAGGCCACTGCAGCTGCCACCTCTCTCGGAGGCCCCTGAGGGGATGGATAATGATAACTACGTCATGAGCAGAAGCCACAACAGTTCTGCAGACAGCAGAGCTTACAGCAGGGCTTCTCAAGTACTCCCCAGCACAGTGAGGTGTCTGGGGGATCCCTACGCTGCTCAGGCTTGCCTTCCTGAGTATAATGTCTCCAATACGGAAGACTCATGTGGGATCAGAATTAAAGGCCAGCTGAGTCACATGGGGGCTTCTAAGCAAATAAAGTTAGGGTAGATACGTCATCAGAGCTCAATCCTCTCTGTGACTGGCCAAGATTAGATCTCATAAAGTGGTGCTGGGCATGACAGTAGCATGCCTGTTCCCAGCTATTTGGGAGACTGAGGCAGGAGGATCACTGGATCCCAGGACTTAAAGACTGCCATGAGCTAGCTACGTTTGCACCACCGTACTCCAGCCTGAGCAACAGAATGAGACCTTGTCTCTAAAAAAGGAAAAATAAAACGGTTCCCAATATATGAGTAGAGTCCTATGTATTTCTGCTGAACCTGCCTTCTGATCTCCCACTGGGGCTCAGTGTACAGCAGCCAACCTGTTAGGGGAAGGGAGATGTTTGCCAATAATGCCAGAATATTCCAGGCAAAGTCCTGACGGCTCTGACCTTTGAGCTGTGAGGTTACCAGCTTTTGTGGGATTCAGTGCTTCCATTGCTTTCAGACTATGCTCAACCCAAAAGGCAGTTGTCTTCCACCTGCTGAGGCAGTATACTGTCTACCCCAGGCATCCCCAAACTGCCGCCCCCTGAGGCCATTTATCCAGCCCCCCGCCGCACTTCAGGAAGGGGCACCTCTTTCATTGGTGGTCAGTGAGAGGAGCACAGTATGTGGCGGCCCTCCAATGGTCTGACGGACAGTGAACTGGTCCCCTGTGTAAAAAGTTTGGGGACGCCTGGTCTACCCTGTTATTTTACACTCTGCTGTAGCCAATGGTAGTCCTATTCTGGGATCTACTGAGCAGTTCCTTGCCCCTGGGCCTTTGCTTGTGCCCTCCCACATTGGTGACACCCCTGAAAGGCTCGTCAACGCTCTCCAATCATACCTCCAGATCAGCTGCAATCTCTCCTCCATGCTAGTCTTGGCATCTGTCTCCTCTTTGATGCCTGTGTTGATTCCCTCATCTCCAACTCCCAAGCTTTGTGTGAATTATCCAGAATATGGGGGCTGTGAAATCTGAAGAGTAGTAGATTAAGGCCAAGGGTGCCAAAACACTCAGTAACCCTTCCGGCTTGGTTCAACTTGGACTCCTACTGCTAATGAATTATGTGATCTTGAACACAGACTCCTAAGCTTCAGTTGTCTCATCTATAAAATCCATGAAATCTGTGCTCACAGTGCCTACCAGAACTTGACAACGCTAATGTAAAGCTCCTGACACAGAAAGCTCCCCATCAATATGAAGCACTTTATATCTGAGTGGGAATTACTACATTTACCTCAGGCCACACCCACTAACCAGTGCTCCAACTATCATACCCAGATGGCAGTTGTCCTACTCTCACCCTGGACCCCAATTTTGACATTTCTAGACTTGCCTCTTGTAAAACCCAGATCCTCTCCCCACCTGGCCGCCTTTTGACACTCAGAGCAGTCTAGCTTCAGTCGTGTGATGGGGTAGGCTCGGTCTGACAACCAATGACTCAGAGCACCCAGTCTCCGGCTTCTCCAAAATGCCAAGACCTCGTCTATCTTCAGACCTTGTAACCCTCAAGGAATCACTATATCCTTAATAGGTATGAAAATAAGACACCGCTGTGATTCAAGGTGATCCCAGGAGGGAGCACAAGCTTTATAACCAAGATATTTCGACATGGGAGGGGGAAAATCTAGAGGCAGGAAGAAAGGAGTAAACAGTAGAAACATTAGACCCAATTCACCTGCCTTAAAATCCCAGCTCTGTTTCCTGCTAGAGCGTATCTGCTATGTGACCTTTGTGTTAGGCCATTTTTGTGTTACTATAAAGAACTATTTTGGGCTGGGTACAGTGGCTCATGCTTGTAATCCAAGCATTTTGGGAGGCTGAATCAGGTGGATCACCTGAGTTTGGGAGTTTGAGAACATCCTGGCCAGCATGGTCAAACTCCATTTCTACTAAAAATATACTAAATTAGCTTGATGTGGTGATGCCTGGCTGTAATCCCATTTACTTGGGAGGCTGAGGCAGGAGAATCACTTGAACTTAGGAGGCAAAGGTTGCAAGGAGCTGAGATCATGCCACTGCACTCTAGCCTGAGCAACAAGAGTGAAATTCCATCTCAAAAAAAAAAAAAAAAGGCTGGGCTAGGTGGCTCATGTCTGTAATCCCAGCACTTTGGGAGGCCAAGGCGGGTGGATCACAAAGTCAGGAGTTCGAGCCAGCCTGGCCAAGATGGTTAAACCCTGTCTCTACTAAAAATACAAAAATTAGCCAGGCACATTGGTGGGCGCCTGTAATCCCAGCTACTTGGGAGGCTGAGGTAGGACAATCACTTGAACCTGGGAGGCAGAGGTTGCAGTGAGTCAAGATTCCACCACTGCACTTTAGCCTGGGCAACAAAGCAAGACTCCCATCGAGAAAGAAAGAAAGAAGAGAGAGAGAGAGAGAGAGAGAGAGAGAGAAGAAGAAGGAAGGGGAGGGCAGGGAAAAAGAAAGGAAGAAAAAGGAAGGAAAGAAGGAAAAGAAAGAAGGAGGGAGGGAAGGAAGAAAGAAAGGAGGGAGGGAGGGAGGGAGGGGAAAAGAAAAGAAATATCCCAGTCTAGATAGTTTATAAAGAAAAGAGGTTTGGCTAGACGTAGGGGCTCAAGCCTGTAATCCAAGCACTTTGGAGGCCAAGGCAGACGGATCACCTGAGGTTGGGAGTTCAAGACCAGCCTGACCAACATGGTGAAACCTCGTCTTAAAAAAAAAAAAAAAGAAGAAGGCCGGGCGCGGTGGCTCACGCCTGTAATCCCAGCACTTTGGGAGGCCGAGGCAGGTGGATCACGAGGTCGAGAGATCGAGACCATCCCGGTGAACATGGTGAAACCCCGTCTCTACTAAAAATACAAAAAATTAGCTGGGCATGGTGGCGCGTGCCTGTAATCCCAGCTACTCAGGAGGCTGAGGCAGGAGAATTGCCTGAACCCAGGAGGCGGAGGTTGCGGTGAGCCGACATCGCGCCATTGCACTCCAGCCTGGGTAACAAGAGCGAAACTCCGTCTCAGAAAAAAAAAAAAAAAAGAAAAGAAGAGAGGTTTGGCCAGCTTTGGTTGCTCATGTCTGTAATCCCAACACTTTGGGAGGTGAAGGCAGGAGGATCACTTTAACATAGGAGTTTGAGACCAGCATGGGCAACACAGCAAGATCCCATTTTTTTTTTTTTTTTTTTTTTTTTTTTGTCTGAGACAGACTCTCACTCTGTCACCCAGGCTGGAGTACAGTGGCACAATCTTGGCTCACCACAACCTCTGCCTCTCTAGTTCAAGTGATTCCTCTGCCTCAGCCTCCCAGGTAGCTGGGATTACAGATGCCTGCCACCATACCCGGGCAATTTTTTTTTTTTTTTTTTAGTAGAGACAAGGTTTCACCATGTTGGCCACGCTGGTCTCGAACTCCTCACCTCAGGTGATCTACCTGCCTCGGCCTCCCAAAGTGTTGGGATTACAGGTGTGAGCCACTGCACCCAGCCATCTGTTTGTTTTTTTTTTTTAAAGGATATTTAAATGGCTCATGGTTCTTCAGGCTTTTACAGGAAACATGGTACTGGCATCTGCTGCCAGTGAGGCTTCAGGAAAACTTACAATGACGTAAAGTGATGGGGAGCCAGCAGGTCATATAACGAGAGTAGGAGCAAGAGAGAAAGGGGGGAGGGGCCACACTCTTTTAAATAACCAGATCACATGTGAACTTAGAATGAGAACTCACTCATTATCATTAGGACAGCACCAAGCCATTCTGAGGGATCTGCCCCCAAGACCCGAACACCTCCCACCAGGCCCAACCTCCAACATTAGGGATTACATTTCAACACAGGATTTGGAAGGGACAAACATCCAAACCATATCAACCTTGGAGGGTACTTCTGTGTTCCAGTCTTCTTATTTGTACAATGGGAATAACAATAGTTCCCAACCCATGCAGTTTTTCTATTAAGTGCATTTCTACACACTAACTGCAAAGTATTAGCTCTTATTCACGTAATGAACAATTTTGTAAGTGTAAATTCAATGCAAAGGAATGACTGTTGAAATGTGTTTGTCTTGCCGGGCGCGGTGGCTCAAGCCTGTAATCCCAGCACTTTGGGAGGCCGAGGCGGGTGGATCACGAGGTCGAGAGATCGAGACCATCCTGGTCAACGTGGTGAAACCCCGTCTCTACTAAAAATACAAAAAAAATTAGCTGGGCATGGTGGCGCATGCCTGTAATCCCAGCTACTCAGGAGGCTGAGGCAGGAGAATTGCTTGAACCCAGGAGGCGGAGGTTGCGGTGAGCCGAGATCGTGCCATTGCACTCCAGCCTGGGTAACAAGAGCGACACTCTGTCTCCAAAAAATAAATAAATAAAAAATAAATAAAAATAAAAATAAAAAAAAGAAATGTGTTTGTCCTATATTTTTTCTTTTGAGACAGAGTCTCACACTATTGCCTGAGCTGGAATGCAATGGCGTCAATCTCGGCTCACTGAAACCTCTGCCTCCGAGGTTCAAGCGATTTTCCTGCCTCAGCCTCCCAAGTAGCTTGGATTACAAGTGCCCCCCACCATGCCTGGCTAATTTTTTGTATTTTTAGTAGAGATAGGGTTTCACTATGTTGGCCAGGCTGGTCTCAAACTCCTGAACTTGTGATCTGCCCGCCTCGGCCTCCCGAAGTGCTTGGATCACAGGCATGAGCCACTGTGCCTGTCTTGTCCTGCATTTTTACGCATTTAAGAGAGATGCAGTAAAATTTTATCAAAAATATCATTAATTTTCATAAAGTCTGAATGTTTACATACATTTCTATGATTTCTAGTAAATGTTTAATTTTTTTTTAAAGAAACAGCACATTCAAATATAATTGGCTAAAAATAAACTGTGGGTATATCTTTTTATTTGAGACAGGGAGGCTGAGGCAGGAGAACTGCTTGAACCCGGGAGGCAGAGACTGCAGTGAACCGAGATTGTGCCACTGCACTCCAGCCTGAGCGACAAAGCGAGGCTCTGTCTCAATAAATAAATAAATAAATAAATCCAATGTTCATTAATTTCCTGTCTAGATGATCTAGCTAATACTGAGTGGAGCATTAAAGTCCCTGTTATTTTATCAGAGTCTACTTCCAGCTTTAGATCAAATAATATTTGCTTTATGTATCTGGGTGCTCCAGTGTTGGGTACACATATTTTGAGAATTGCTATATCCTCTCGCTAAGTTCATCTCTTTATCGTATAATGATATTCATTGTCTTTTTCTTTTCTTTTTGTAGAAACAGGGGTCTCACTATGTTGCCCAGGCTGGTCTAACTCCTGGCTTCAAGTAATCCTCTCACCTAAGCCTTCCAAAGTGCCGGGAATTTAGGTGTGCACCACCATACCTGACCCTCTTTTGACTTAAAGTATGTTTTATCTAAGTATAGCTACTCCTGCTCACTACATTTTTTATTTGCATGTAATATATTTTTCCATCATGTTACTATCGGTCTTTATGTGTCTTTACAGGTAAAATCAGGCAGGCTTTTTTTTTTTTTTTTTTTTTTTTTTGAGACAGAGTCTCACTCTGTCGCCAGGCTATAGTGCAGTGGCACAATCTTGGCTCACTGCAACCTCCGCCTCCTGGGTTCAAGCAATTCTTCCGCCTCAGCCTCTCAAGCAGCTGGGACTACAGGCGCACGCCACCACGCCCAGCTAATTTTTTATTTTTACTAGAGATGGGGTTTCACCATGTTGGCCAGGATGGTCTCGATCTCGTGACCTCATGATCTGCCTGCCTCGGCCTCCCAAAGTACGGGGATTACAGGCTTGAGCCACCATGCCTGGCCAGGCAGGCTACTTCTTAGGCCTACAGGTGGCTTGTTCAAGTGCCAGCAGTGGCAGAGGTGGACCAAACAGGTGTGTGGGTCCTTGGACCCCTGGAAATCATGTGTGGCATGAGTAGCAGCAGTGGCAGGACAATCCTCAAGTTCCTAGGCAGCATGCACAGGCATTACCAAGGTCTACAACAGGCAGGGCTGGCCAGTCCCCAGAACCCCAGGTGGCATGTGTGGGTGGGTGCTGGTGGTGGCAACAGACTGGGTGGGCAAATCCTCAGGCCCCCAGGAGGAATGCACAGATGTCAGCAGTGGTGGACAGGGAAGGGTGATGACTAGGGCCCCAGGCAGTGTGGACATCACTCAAGCACACTGTATGGAGCCCTAGGAATCACCAGTGCTTCCCTGTTCACCACTGCTGGCATCTGTGCCAAGGAGAACCTGTCCTCAGGATGTGTGCAAGTGTGTGGTAGCCCTGCTGCTTAGTGGGGGTAGGGCTATTAGTGGCAGCAGCCCCACGCAAGCAGCTCTCAGGCTCTGGGGGGTACACACTTTGGCTCCCTTTGTCCCCAGGGCAACCTCCCAGGTGTACTACACTGCCTTGGGTGTGGAACACTGTAGGTGCTAGAGTGCAGGGCAGCCTACCACACTGCTGGGTCCAACCCGTGTACAGCCACTGCAGCCTTAAAGATGGATGTGGGGGGATGTCAGAGGGGCTCCAGGGTTGTGTAGACGCAGGGGCTGTTGGGTCCCAAGACAGGATACAGTCTGGTTGGGGCCTGGTCTCTCAAAATATGGCCGTGTGGCATCTGACCTTAGATCCAGCAGTGAAGAGGATGGTGTGGGGGGAGGTGGGACACCACATGAGCTCCCTGTATGGAATAATGTCACTGTGCAAACTCTAGACAAATCCCTATGCTAGTCTTAGGACCTGTGACAATTAAGAGGGGGAGGAGGCAGGACACCACATGAGCTCCCTGTATGGAATAATGTCACTGTGCAAACTCTAGACAAATCCCTATGCTAGTCTTAGGACCTGTGACAATTACGGGGATGTGGCCAGGTGCTGTTGCTTTACCCCTGTAATCCCAGCACTTTGGGAGGCGGAGGCAAGTGGATCAATTGACGTCAGGTGTTCAAGAGCAGCCTGGACAACATGGCAAAACCCTGTCTCTACTAAAAATACAAAAATTAGCTGGGCATGGTGGTGGGCGCCTGTTATCCCAGCTATTCAGGAGGCTGAGGCAGGAGAATTGCTTGACCCTGGGAGGCAGAGGTTGCAATGAGCCGAGATCATGACGCTGCACTCCTGGGTGACAGAGATTCCATCACAAAAAAAAAAAAAAAAAGTCTAGTGAAGCTGAATGAGGTAGCTCATGCCTGTATTCCCAGCATTTTGGGAGGCTGAAAGGGGTGGATAAATCACTTGAGGTTAGGAGTTTGAGACCAGCCTAGCCAATATAGAAAACTCTGTCTCTAGTCTCTACTAAAAATACAAAAATTAGCCAGGCATGGTGGCAGGCACCTGTAGTCCCAGCTACTTGGGAGGCTGAGGCAGGAGAATCACTTGAACGGCAGGCAGAGGGAGGCAGAAGTTTCAGTGAGATGAAATTGCACCACTGCACTCCAGCCTGGGTAACAGAGTGAGTCAAAAAAAAAAAAAAAATACAAAAAAACAAAACAACCTAGTGACATTTTTATTGAGACTGCATGGAATCCACAAACCAACCTGGGGAGGATTAACATATTAAGACTTCCAATTCATGAACATAATAAATGTCCTCATTTACTTAGGCATTCTGCAATTTATCTCAGCAATGTTTTGTAGTTTTCAGTGTACAAGTCTTGCATAATTTTGCAAAATTTATTTCTAAGTACTTCATAATTTTATGCTCTTATAAATTACATTTTTTTTGAGAGAGAGAGAGTCTTGCTCTGTAGACCAGGCTGGAGTACAATGGCACAGTCTATGCTCACTGCAACCTCCACCTCCCGGGTTCAAGCGATTCGCCTGCCTCAGCCTCCTGAATAGCTGGGACTACAGGTGTGTACCACCACACCTGGCTAGTTTTTGTATTTTCAGTGGAGATGGGATTTCACCATGTTGGCCAGGCTGTTCTCAAACCCCTGACATTGTGATCTGCCCACTTCAGCCTCCCAAAGTGTTGGGATTACAGGTGTGAGCCACTGTGCCCGGCCACAAATTACACTTTTAAAATTACAATTTGAGTTGGCTTCCCTTCCCCCTAAAAAAACAGCACAGAGCTTTCCATAGGCAGCAAGGTGGTCAATATCCTATCGAGCAGCCAGTCCTGAGTGTACAGCCCTGGACAGTGGGGGAGCAATGGAAAATGAAGATAATTCCTCCTTCATGGGATTTTTCTGAAGCTGAGGTAGGAGCCATATGGGAATCTACTCCAGACCAGATTGAAGACACTGAAATCAGGAAGAGGCAGTGAAAGCACTTCCCCATAAGACATGCCCACCATTGCCATGGCAGTTTGCCATTGTCTTGGCAACACCCAGGAGCTACTGCCCCTTAGCAGGGCAACATCTGGAAGTTACCACCCATTTTCCAGCCCGTTCTGAATAATATTTGGCATGTCGCATGTTATTAAAAGTGGGTAGGCCGGGCTCGGTGGCTCAAGCCTGTAATCCCAGCACTTTGGGAGGCCGAGGAGGGTGGATCACGAGGTCAAGATATCGAGACCATCTTGGTCAACATAGTGAAACCCCGTCTCTACTAAAAATACAAAAAACTAGCTGGGCGTGGTGGCGCGTGCCTGTAATCCCAGCTACTTAGGAGGCTGAGGCAGGAGAATTGCCTGAGCCCAGGAGGCAGAGGTTGCGGTGAGCTGAGATCGCGCCATTGCACTCCAGCCTGGGTAACGAGAGCGAAACTCCGTCTCAAAAAAAAAAAAAAGTGGGTAAATAGGCCAGGTGCAGTGGCTCATGCCTGTAATCCCTTTGGGAGGCTGAGGTAGGTGGATCATAAGGTCAGGGGTTCAGGACCAGCCTGGCCAGCATGGTGAAATCCCATCTCTACTAAAAATACAAAAATTAGCCTGGCATGGTGACGTGCACCTGCAATCCCAGCTACTCAGGAGGCTGAGGTAGGAGAATCGTTTGAGGCACAGGTTGCAGTGAGCCAAGATCACACCACCGCACACCAGCCTAGGCAACAGAGCAAGACTCCGCCTCAAAACAAAACAAAATAAAGTGGGTATAAGCTGGGCACAGTGTCACACCTGTAAACCCAGCACTTTGGGAATCTGAGGCTGGAAGATCACTTGAGCCCAAGAATTCAAGATCAGTCTGGGTACATGGCAAAACCCTGTCTCTTAAAAAAAAAAAAAAAATTTGCGCTAGGCATGGTGGCTCAAGCCTGTAATCCCAGCACTTTGGGAGGCCGAGGCAGGTGGATCACGAGGTCAAGAGATCGAGACCATCCTGGTCAACATAGTGAAACCCCATCTCTACTAAAAATACAAAAAATTAGCTGGGCATGGTGGCGCGTGCCTGTAATCCCAGCTACTCAGGAGACTGAGGCAGGAGAATTGCCTGAGCCCAGGAGGCGGAGGTGGCAGTGAGCCGCGATTGCGCCATTGCACTCCAGCCTGGGTAACAAGAGCGAAACTCCGTATCAAAAAAAAAAAAAAAAATTTAAAGAGATGGTGTCTTGCTATTTTGCTGAGGCTGGTAACGAACTTCTGGGCTCAAGCAATCCTCCAAACTGAGTCTCCCAAAGTGCTGACATTACAGGCATGAGCCACCAGTCCTGGGCCCCCATATATATATTTTTTGAGACAGTCTTGCTCTGTCACCCAGGCTGAAGTACAGTGGCCTCATCTACGCTCACTGCAACCTCTGCCTCCCTTGTTCAAGCGACTCTCCTGCCTCAGCCTCCCAAGTAGCTGGGATTATAGGTACCCACCCACCACGACTGGTTAATTTTTTTGCATTTTTAGTAGAGACGGGGTTTCACCATGTTGGCCAGGCTGGTTTCAAACTTCTGACCTCAATTTTCTGCCTACCTTGGCCTCCCAAAGTGCTAGGATTATAGACATGAGCCACTACGCCTGGCCTAAAACATTTTTTTTAATTAGCTGGATGTGGTGGCATGCAACTGTAGTCCCTGCTACCTAGGAGGCTGAGGTGGATAGAGCAACATGGTTGCATTCCAGGCTGGGTGATAGAGCAAGACTGTTTTTGTTTTTTTTTTTTTTTGAGACGGAGTTTCGCTCTTGTTACCCAGGCTGGAGTGCAATGGCGTGATCTCGGCTCACCACAACCTCCCCCTCCTGGGTTCTGGCAATTCTCCTGCCTCAGCTTCCTGAGTAGCTGGGATTACAGGCACGCACTACCATGCCCAGTTGATTTTTTTTGTATTTTTAGTAGAGACGGGGTTTCACCATGTTGACCAGGATGGTCTCGATCTCTTGACCTTGTGATCCACCCGCCTCGGCCTCCCAAAGTGCTGGGATTACAGGCTTGAGCCACCGCGCCCGGCGAGCAAGACTCTGAAAAGGTGCCATAAACCACAAGATCTGGATCCATACGTTGGTTATCCCACCTGTTAATCCCTTGAGCCCCAGAGGGAGTGCCCTGACACTGTGACAGCAAAAACTTGACAATGACAAAGGCCACAGCATCCAGAGACACCAGAAGCACTGGATGGGTCACAAAAGGCACATCCCAGGACTACAGAATCTTTCAGTCTCACGGTAATGGCAATGAGAGGTAAGCAGCCCAGAGAGGATATGAGAATCCAGAAAGCCTATAGATTATCTGCTGACAGTAACCTTGCCACAAATAACAGGTCTGTAATTGCTGAGAAGTTCTGGTATCCTCACCCCATAAAACCTCAGTTGCTGAACATTTGTGGATGCCTCTTTAGAGTAGGCGCAAGCCCTCTTGTTTACCAGATACTTCACTCCATACTACTTACTCGGTATTTCTATGCCCACTTACTGTACCCAACAGGCCCCTATAAGTTTTATAGTCAGTCTAGAACTTACCTCCATGTTCCAGATTTTGGAGAATATGGCTTCTGAGCTGAATCTGGAAACAGCTCCTTCTGACCATTGCTGGAAGTTCTGGAACATTCCCTGGGAACAAGGAACCCAATGTTTTCTGTCCATAAACATACAGATCTCACACCAACTATCCCCTTCTTCAAGGTGAGCTCTGGACCCACAAACATGCCTGACATCCAGGCTACAGGTCTTTCTTTCTCTGAATGACTCAGGGGCCAATACAAATTAGGCCAACTTGACTAATTAGGCCAACTTGTCATCCTGCCATCCCCACTGAGGCAGAAAAAAACTCAAGAGATCACCTCCACAAAAGCCACTTCCTCAACCTATGGTGATAGTGCCTGATTCTATTCTCAATCTCTCCACACACAGGGATCAGAACCTCAATATTAAAAGTGACTTGGTGGAGCACAGTGGTTCACAACTATAATACCAGCACTTTGGAAGGCTGAGGCAAGAGGAGTGCTTGAGGCAAGGAGTTCATGACCAGCCTGGGCAATGTAGCAAGATCTTTCTCTACAAAACATTTTTAAAATTAGCCAAACATGGTGGCACGCAAGTGCAATCCTAGCTATTCGAGAGGCTGAAGCAAGAGAATCACTTGAGTCCAGGAGTCCAAGCCCGCAATGAGCTAGGATCATACTACTGCACTCCAGCCTGGGCAAGAGTGTGAGACCCTGTCTCTAAAAAAACTAGGCCAGGTGCAGTGGCTCCTAGCACTTTGGGAGGCCAAGGCAGGAGGACAGCTTGAGGCTCAGAATTTGAGACCAGCTTGGGCAAAGTAGGGAGACCCTGTCTGCCACAATTTAGCCAGCTGTGATGGTGCGCACCTATAGTGCCAGCTACTTAGGAGGCTAAAGCAGGAAGATCCCTTGAGACCAGGAGTTCGAGGCTGTGGTCAGCTGTGATGGCACCACTGCACTCCAGCCTGGGCAACAAAGCAAGACCATCTCAAAAAAAAAAAAAAAAATTTTTAAGTGGCTTAAGCAATAAAACCTTTTTATTACCACAGTCCAGTGCAGTATGAGACAGTCCGTGCTAGGGCATGACAAATACCCCATGTAATATCAACCATTTCCATGAAAATGGTAAACCTTCTCAACAAGCCCCCAGCATATACCAGCTCAGCTCCTCTGGCCAGAGCTGGATCATGATCACAGCTAAACCATTCAGGGGTAAGGAAAGAGCTGTTTTGGGCTCCACCATTAATGACTGTCTACAGTTCAGAGCAAGGAGCCCAAGGTCTGCTGTACCACTCGCTGCAGGGACCTTACAGGATGGACAGAAGTGGATGGCTTCTATCACAGAAACTGACAGTGACATGACACTGCCAACAGCCCAAGGAAAGTCAGAGTCCAACGTGGCTCCTGAAAGGTTCCCACAAACCAGGCACACACGGGAACTCTCCCCAGGGTGAGATACACAAGGTTAAGCTTCTTTCACATGGCACTCTCATGGTCACTCTCCTCAATCTTCTTTCTGGAATAAGACCTTTTCTAGCAGCTAACAACTTTCCCACGTGACCTGTCCTCCTGAGGCCTTTCTGAAGTATGAACTTTCTTGTGCTGAAGGAGAGAAGAACTATGTTTGAAGGCTTTCCCACATTCTGTACATTCATAAGACCTCTCTTCAGTGTGGAACTGCTGGTGCCGATTTCGGTAGGACCTAGTAGTAAAGGTTTTCCCACACAGGCTACATTCATAGGGCCGTTCCCCAGTGTGGACTTTCCAGTGCTGATAGAGGCCTGAACGAGTCACGTAGGCTTTCCCACACTGCTTGCATTCAAAAGGCCTTTCTCCAGTGTGAACTCGCTGGTGAAGAATGAAGCTATTACTGTATTTAAAGAACTTCCCACATTCTGCACACTCATAGGGCCTTTCTCCAGTGTGCACTTTCTGGTGCCTAATGAGGGTAGACAGAACACTGAAGGTCTTCCCACATTTGCTGCACTCATAAGGCCTTTCTCCAGTGTGAATCCTCTGGTGTAGAACAAGTGCATCTTTGCGGTTGAAGGTTTTCCCACATTCACTACACTTAAAAGGTTTTATGCCTGTGTGAACCTTCTGGTGTTTCCTCAGCTTAGACGGGTAACTGAAGGCCTTCCCACACTCATTACACACATGGGATGTTTCTCCAGTGTGAATTTTTCGGGGGTTAATATGAGTTGACTTCTCCCTGAAAGCACTTCTGCCTGCTGGGCATCTGAAGGGTCTCTCTTCAGAGTGAGTTATCAGATGATCAAGGAGGGCAGAGGCCTTCAAGAACACCTTCCCACAGTCACTGCATTTGAACAGCTTCTCTGCCACATGGACTCCTTGCTGTTGCCCACAACTGGAACTTGGTGGGAAGGCTGCCTTACACTCAGTGTACCTTCTTGGTTTCCCCTCAGTACAAGTGTCTTGGTCCTGGATGACTCTGTAGCTCTTCATATGCTTGGGAGGGGCTCTCTCACCCTCCACTCTACACAGACCATCTGAAAGCAGAGATGAATCTATTACTGAGAGTTGAACTCGAGGGAGGAGGTACCTTCATCCCCAATGCATGTTAGACATACCCAAAAGGACTTCATAGAATTGCTGAAAGATTGCTGGGAAAGGTCTGGGTTAGAAAAGGCTGGCCCAACTGAACATGGCTCCATCAGACTACAGAATAAGAAAGATCACTTAAAAAAAAAAAAAAGAAGGGCCGGGCGCGGTGGCTCAAGCCTGTAATCCCAGCACTTTGGGAGGCCGAGACGGGTGGATCACGAGGTCAAGAGATCGAGACTATCCCGGTCGACATAGTGAAACCCCGTCTCTACTAAAAATACAAAGAATTAGCTGGGCATGGTGGCGCGTGCCTGTAATCCCAGCTACTCAGGAGGCTGAGGCAGGAGAATTGCCTGAACCTAGGAGGCGGAGGTTGCGGTGAGCCGAGATCGTGCCATTGCACTCCAGCCTGGGTAACAGGAGCGAAACTCTGTCTCAAAAAAAAAAAAAAAAGAAAAAAGAAAAAGAAAGATCTCAACTGAAATGAGGGCACAAGATAGGGTGCAGTGCAGGGAGAAGAGGTGGGGTCACCAAGTCACGCCTCTGCAAAGGGTTTCAGCAGGACTTTGGCTGCTGGGGACAGGAGAGCACTGTGAGAAGGCAAGTGTCTAGTTCCAGCAAAATCTGATTGCAAAATAGTAGCTGGTGTTTAAGTATTAATTAAGGGTTGGCTGAAGTTCAAATACCTATTTAACGATATACGCACATCTCAAGTCATGCACTGAGTGGCCAATAGTAGACAGCTCTGCATAGATACAGAGAAGGGCAATCAAGCGACCAAGGCCAAAGAGGCAGGAACACACAGAGCCTCAAAGTCACAGTGGAGATGGCAGACTGCACCACGTTCAGATAAGAGGAAAGGTGGAAATAAGGTATGGTCACTGCCCTCAACACCAAGGTATGAGTGTATGCAGGTACCCAGCATTCTGTGAGCCCACTGCTGAAACCAAGGTATTCCCCTCTGCTCCACTCACCAAGACCAGCACCAGGACCTCTGCTGGCTTCTGTTCTGCTGACTAGAGTCACATCCACCCAGCTGGGCACGCAGGACTGTTCATCATCCACCAGTTGGGTAAACACAGGGGATCTTGAAGGCGCAAGTCCTGGGGTGGATAGGTAGTAAAAGAAACAGGCTGGGCATGGTGGCTCATGCCTATAATCCCAACACTTTGGAAGGCTGAGGCAGGAGGATGACTTAAGGCCAGACATTTGCAACCAGCCTGGGCATCATAGTAAGACCCCATCTCTTCAAAAATTATATAATTTTTGGGTGGCATGGTGGCTCACATCTATAAGCCCAGCACTCTGGGAGGCCGAGGCAGGTGGATCATGAGGTCAAGAAATTGAGTCCAGCCTGGCCAACAACGTGAAACCCCGTCCCTACTAAAAAATGCAAAAAAGTAAAATAAAAGAATTAGCCGGGCATAGTGGCATGTATCTATAGTCCTAGCTACTCGGGAGCCTGAGGCAGGAGAATCACTTGAACCCGGGAGGTGGAGGTTTCATTGAGCTGAGATGGCACCACTGCACTCCAGGTTGGGCAACAGAATGAGACTTTGTCTCAAAAAAAAAAAAAAAAAAAAAAAAATCAAAACCAAAAACCAAATCAACAACAGAAATTTGGGAAACTCATACATTTAAGGAATTTAAAGAAAACTTTCCTAAAAATCCAGAGTCAAAGAAAAAAAAGCACATGAAAATTACAAAGTACTTTGAGAGGAATGAAAATTAAAACACAACAAACAAAAAACTATGGGATGCAGAAAATGCAGTGCTTAGCGGGAGCATTACAGCTATAAATACCCATATTTTTAAAGATCTCAAACCAGTAACCTAACTTTACACCTCAAGAAACAAGAAAAAGAAACTAAAGCCAAAGATAGCAAAAGGAAGGAAATAGTAAAAATCAGAGCAGAAACAAGTGAAACAGAGAATAGGAAAATAAAGAGAATCAACAAATCAAAATTTGGTTATTTGAAAAGATAAACAAAATTGGCAAGTGTTTACCTAGAGTGAAAAAATAGAGAGTAGACCCAATATTACCACAAACAGGAATGGAAAACGGACATCACTAGTGACCTTATAAAAATTAAAAGATTATCATGAAGGAAGCCTGGCGCGGTGGCTCAAGCCTGTAATCCCAGCACTTTGGGAGGCCGAGGCGGGTGGATCATGAGGTCAAGAGATCGAGACCATCCTGGTCAACATGGTGAAACCCCATCTCTACTAAAAATACAAAAAATTAGCTGGGCATGGTGGCACGTGCCTGTAATCCCAACTAGTCAGGAGACTGAGGCAGGAGAATTGCCTGAACCCAGGAGGCGGAGGTTGCGGTGAGCCGAGATCACGCCATTGCACTCCAGCCTGGGTAACAAGAGCGAAACTCCGTCACAAAAAAAAAAAAAATTATCATGAAATACTATGTACAAATGCATGCCAACAAATAAGGTAACTTAGATGAAATGCACAAATTCCCAAGTTGACTCAAACTACCAAAATTGATTCAAGAAGAAATAGAAAATCTAAAAAAACACATAAAAAAAAAAGTTTTCTTGTTGTTATTAAAAAACTTCCCCCCACCACACACACAACCCCAAGCCCTAATGACTTCAATGGTCAATACTAACAGTAAAGAATAAGAATTAACACCAGGGCCGGGCGCAGTGGCTCACGCCTGTAATCCTAGCACTTTGGGAGGCCCAGGCAGGTGGATCACGAGGTCAAGAGATCGAGACCATCCTGGTCAACATGGTGAAACCCCGTCTCTACTAAAAATACAAAAAATTAGCTGGGCATGGTGGCGGGTGCCTGTAGTCCCAGCTACTCAGGAGGCTGAGGCAGGAGAATTGCCTGAACCCGGGAGGCGGAGGTTGTGGTGAGCCAAGATTGCACCATTGCACTCCAGCCTGGGTAACAAGAGCGAAACTCCGTCTCAAAAAAAAAAAAAAAAAAATACAAAAAAAACAAAAAAAGAATTAACACCAATACTTAATAAACTCTTCCAGAAAACAGAAGAGAAGGAAACATTTCCCAAATTATCCATTGAAGCCAAAATTACCCTCATATTCAATACAACAACATTGTAAGAAAACTACACTGTCAGGTATGGTGCCTCATGCCTGTAATCCCAGCACTTTGGGAGGCCAAGGCAGGCGGATCATGAGGTCAAGAAATCGAGATCATCCTGGCCAACATGGTGAAACCCTGTCTCTACTAAAAATACAAAAATTAGCTGGGCATGGTGGCGTAGTCCAAGCTATTTGAGAGGCTGAGGCAGAAGAATCGCTTGAACCAGGGAGGTGGAGGTTGCAGTGAGCTGAAGGTGGCAGTGAGCCGAGATCTTGCTACTGCACTCCTGCCTGGCAACACAGCAAGACTCCATCTCAAAAAGAAAAGAAAAGAAAAAGAAAATCAATTACTGTAATACACCACATTAACAGAAGAAAGGACAAAAATCACATGATCATTTCATTAGACATTGGAAAAGCATTTGACAAAATCTAGTGACCTTTCCTTTTTTTTTTTTTTTTTGGTAGAGTTTTGCTCCTGTTGCCCAGGATGGAGTGCAACAGCGCAATTTCAGTTCACTGCAACCTCCACCTTCCAGGTTCAAGAGATTCTCCTGCCTCAGCCTCCTAAGTAGCTGGGATTACAGGCATGTGCCACCATGTCCAGTTAATTTTGTATTTTTAGTAGAGGTGGGGTTTCACCATGTTGGCCAGGCTGGTCTTGAACTCCTGACCTCAGGTGATCCGCCCACCTTGACCTCCGAAAGTGCTGGGATTATAAGTGTGAGCCACTGCACCTGGTTGTGATCTTTCTTTTTTTTTTTTTTTTTTTTTTTTGAGACGGAGTTTCGCTCGTTACCCCGGCTGGAGTGCAATGGCGCGATCTCGGCTCACCGCAACCTCTGCCTCCTGGGTTCAGGCAATTCTCCTGCCTCAGCCTCCTGAGTAGCTGGGATTACAGGCACGCGCCACCATGCCCAGCTAATTTTTTTTGTATTTTTAGTAGAGACGGGGTTTCACCATGTTGACCAAGATGGTCTCGATCTCTTGACCTTGTGATCCACCCGCCTCGGCCTCCCAAAGTGCTGGGATTACAGGCTTGAGCCACCGCGCCCGGCCTCTTTTTCTTTTTTTTGAGATGGAGTTTCGCTCTTGTTACTCAGGCTGGAGTGCAATGGCACAATCTCGGCTCATCGCAACCTCCACCTCCCGGGTTCAAGCAATTCTCCTGCCTCAGCCTCCTGTGTAGCTGGGATTACAGGCATGCACCACCATGCCCAGCTAATTTTTAGTATTTTTAGTAGTGACGGGGTTTCACCATGTTGACCAGGAATGGTCTCGATCTACACTCTTAAGACAGGAAAAAGGAAGTCCCCTCTCCCCATTTCCACTGAATAAAGAACTGGAGGGTCTAACTAGGTCAGTGAGGCAAAGGAAGAAGCAAAACTGTGTCTATTCATAGATGCCATGATCTTATATATGGAAAATAGGAAGGAATCCAATAAAAACCATTTGAACTAATAAACAGATTTAGCAATGCTTCAGGAGACAAGATTAGTATACAAAAAATGACTCTATTTCTACAACTAGCAATGAACAATCCAAAAGTAAATTAAGAAAGCAATTCCATTTAAAATAGCATTAAAAAGTCTGGGTATTGGCCGGGCGCGGTGGCTCAAGCCTGTAATCCCAGCACTTTGGGAGGCCGAGGCGGGTGGATCACAAGGTCAAGAGATTGAGACCATCCTGGTCAACATGGTGAAACCCTGTCTCTACTAAAAATACAAAAAAGTAGCTGGGCATGGTGGCATATGCCTGTAATCCAAGCTACTCAGGAGGCTGAGGCAGGAGAATTGCCTGAACCCAGGAGGCGGAGGTTGCGGTGAGCCGAGATCGCGCCATTGCACTCCAGCCTGGGTAACAAGAGCGAAACTCCGTCTCAAAAAATAAAAATAAAAAAATAAAAAAATAAAAATAAAAAGTCTGGGTACAAGGCCGGGCACGGTGGCTGACGCCTTTAATCCCAACACTTTAGGAGGCCCAGGCAGGTGGATCACGAGGTCAAGAGATCGAGACCATCCTGGTCAACATGCTGAAACCTCATCTCTACTAAAAATACAAGAATTAGCTGGGCATGGTGGTGCACGCCTGTAGTCCCAGCTACTCGGGAGGCTGAGGCAGGAGAATTGCTTGAACCCAAGAGGCAGAGGTTGTGGTGAGCCAAGATCGCACCATTGCACTCCAGCCTGGGTAACAAGAGTGAAACTCCGTCTTAAAAAAAAAAAAAAAAAAAAAAAATTCTGGGTACAGTGACTCATGCCTGTAATACCAGCACTTTGGGAGGCCAATGTGGATGGATCACCTGAGGTCAGGAGTTCAACACCAGCCTGGCCAACATGGCGAAACCCCATCTCTACTAAAAATACAAAAATCAGTCAGGCGTGGTGGCACACACCTGTAGTCCCAGCTACTCAGGAGGCTCAGGCAGGACAATTGCTTAAACCCCAGAGGCAGAGGTTGCAGTGAGCTGAGATTGTGCCACTGCAATCCAGCCTGGATGGCAGAACAAGGCTCTGTCTCAAGAAAATAAAAATAAAAACAAAAAAGCATCAAAAAGAATAAAGTACTTAAGAATAAATTTAACGCAAGTACCTTTGTACACTGATAATACAAAACATTATTTAAAAAAACAAAACAAGGCCGGATGTGGTGGCTCACGCCTGTAACCCAGCACTTTGGGAGATCGAGGCGGGTAGATCAAGAGATCCAGACCATCCTGGCCAACATGGTGAAACCCCATCTCTACTAAAAATACAAAAAATAGCCGGGCATGGTGACACGTGCCTGTGGTCCCAGCTACTCGGGAGACTGAGGCGGAAGAATCTCTTGAACCCAGGAGGCGCAGGTTGCAGTGAGCCGAGATTGCGCAACTGCACTCCAGAAGACAAGATTAGTATACAAATTATCGCCTGGCGATAGAGTAAGACTCCGTCTCAAAAACAAAAAACAAAAAACAAAACATTATCGGAAAAGTAAAAGAGCTAAATAAATAAAACATATCCCATGTTCACTGACCTAAAGACTTAATATGAATATTAAGATGGTAATATTCCCCAAACTGTTCTGATCAAAATTCGTGGTTCAAGGCTGGCCCAGGGAGTTCCCTGTAAAATTTCTTCTATAGAAACGGAAAACCCGGAGCATAGAGAGGCCATGTCTTCAACAGTCACAAGGCCAGGAAGAGGCAGAGCTTGGTGGGATTTGGAGGGCAAACTATGAAACATCTGACCCCCAAAACCTGCTCCACTAGCTCCTGGGGCAAGAGGTGTTGACACTGCTAACAGTACTGCTCAGAGAAAGGCAGGGAAAAAGCCAGGAAAAAGCCAGCCTAGTGCCAGTACCCACAATAACTACAACAGGGAATCTGGGAAGGAAACAGTCCCTGTGGTCTGACTTCGGTATGGACCGAACTTCCCATGGAGAAAATGCAGAGGTAGTCATTGTGCTGGGGGACAGTGTGAGAGACTTACCTAGTGAGCTAAGGAGTGCAAAGTTCTCCAGCATCACATCCCGGTATAGGCCCTTCTGGGTCACATTAAGGAGCCCCCACTCCTCCCTGGAGAAATATACCGCCACATCCTCAAACATCACCAAGCCCTGCAATGATGGGTCCAACTGAGCCTTGGGGTCAATGATGGGCAGAAAAAAACAACGAAAATACGGACAGATGGACACATACATGCCCTTGACCTGTGTCTGAGGGTCCTATCGGATCTCCCAGCGACATTACCTTTCCCTAGGAGCCCCAAGCCCTTCCCCGCCATCCTCCCTACACCTATCTTCCTTCTCCTGCCTCAGAGGAATACCAGAGCTGCTGGTGTCACTGATGCCTCTAGTGGTACTACTGGACGCTGTGTCCCAGCACAAAGTGACAACAGGCTGGTGACCAGACCAATGCCATCTATGTCCAGGGCCAGGCACACAGGCCCCACTCTATCTCCTGCCTGCCATTTCCAGTCCCGGAGATCACAACTCTCAGATGCAACCAAACCTACGCTCATCCTTCTCCCTTAGGTGCCAAGTACCTGGTCTCAGGGCCCAGTCTGCCCTCCTGCTCCCCAGGCACACACTCAGCGGCAGCATGCCTACAGCCCTACACCCTCCAGCACAGCCTCCCCAGCTCGCCTACACCGCCTGGCCTTCCACCCTGTTCTGCACCTGCGCCTCGAGTGCCCGACACAGCCACAACCCCATCCCGCCCCAGTCCTGCGGCACATCTCCAGGGCCTCCCACTGCCACGAGCACGCCCCAGCCCTGCATCAAAGACTCCGAGACCCCGCCCCCCTCCAGCTCTGCCCTGGGACACGCCGCCCCCCGACCCGGCGACCCTCCTCATTCCTCGGAGGCCCCCTGCGCTCACCTGCACCGCCGCGGCCATTGGACCCTCGGCCTCCACGGAGACGCGTCCGGGACGCGGGAGCCCTCGGCAGCCGCGGAGTCTTCCCGGGAAGCTCTCCCCGCGCGGGGGAAATGCATCCGAAGACAGGGAGCCACTTCCGGGAGCCGCGGGGAAGGCGGGCGGCGCAGGGGCCCGGGAGGCCCACGGCGCCTGTCCGCGAGCGGCAGGTCTGAGGGAGAGGAGCCGCTCGCCGCGGGGGCACGGCGCGCGGAGGGCGCGGCGAGGGTCCCTGCCTTTCACCTCGCCCAGGAGATCACGAGGAAGGCACCCGGGTCCACGCGGGGGGCCTGAGGCGCCGGAACTCCGGGAACTCTGGGAACTCCGTGCCCTGCGCCTCCGCTAGCTCGGCGCCCCTCAAGCCACGACCTCCACTCCCGGCTCTCCTAGCGGCGCGGCGGGGTCGTTGCCAAGGCGACAAGGGAGGACGCCGCTAGCTCTCGGAGGGGGCCGTGAACTACATTTCCCATAAGGCGTCTCAAGGTGCGGCCATGCAGACGTAGCCAATGGCGGCCCAGGAAGGTGAACGGTCTGGCGGGCCTCGTGGGGGGCGGGGCTTCCGGCGTTGGCTTTCGGGCACTCTTTGGCGCGGTGGGATGGGTGGGCGGTGGGCGGAGTGGAGGCTCCGCTGGTCCCCAGGAACAGAAGCGAAGGCGCGAGTGTCGGGAAGTTCCGCCTCGGGGACCTGTCGCTAGAGCCCCGGTGACCCCGCAGTGGGCGGGCGGCCCCGTGGGGCCCTCGGACCGCGCAGCGCCGGGGCCTCCGCAGAAGCCCTCCTGAGCCCGCAGCCGCCTCGAAATCCTCGCCCTGGTATTGTGTCCGCTTTACGGAGTCCCCACCAAGGCTCAGAAAAGCGTCCCAGCCAGGGCCGGGTGCGGTGGCTCACGCCTGTCATCCCAGCACCTCGGGAGGCCGTGGCGGGCGGATGATGAGGTCGAGAGATCGAGACCATCCTGGTCAACATAGTGAAACCCCATCTCTACTAAAAATATAAAAAATTAGCTGGGCATGGTGGCGCGTGCCTGTAATCCCAGCTACTCGGGAGGCTGAGGCAGGGGAATCGCTTGAACCCAGGAGGCGGAGGTTGCAGTCAGCCGAGGTCACGCCAGTGCACTCCAGCCTGGTACCTGGTGATGGAGTGAGACTCTGCCTCAAAAAAAAAAAAAAAAAAAAAAGTGGCTGAGTGGACACCCTACACATTCTACCCAAGGGCCATGAGTGGCCAAGATCGGGGCTCAGAAGTCTCTGAATCTTCACAGCACGGCAGGTCCAGCTTAGTCACTTCCCGTAAGATGCCAGGGACTGCATGCACTGACATGGGTGCATGTGGGGCCACTGGGCGCTGCCTGGGAGCCTTCCCTGGATGTTCATGTTGTGAAGTTCTGTTTTCCTGGGAGTAAGGATTCTTCTCGCTTGCTGAGATCTGTCATGGTGTTTTTGCCTCTCCTGGACTGGACTCTCACAAACTCGTCATCCTCTATAGGCCTGATGGTACATTCCCACCAGCAGGTGGACCACATGAACTCAAAACTAGTTGTGGCAGAGGGACCCTGAAGATAATGACCCCAGAAGTGGACTGTTCTCACACCTGGTGCCCAGCCTGTGCCCTCACAGGTCTTGGTGCCTCCTTGATTCTGTTGGTTTTTCCACCCTCTTGACAGCTCCCCAGTTCCAATCTTCTGGCCGTGTCCCAACTCTGTCCCCTCCTCTTTTCGTAGTGCCTAGCTGTGCAATGTTTGTCTCTCCTTAACATGTTCTCAGCTGATCCCGTATCCTCAGATAGTCCTTGCAACCCTGTTCCTCAGTAACACCTGTGTATTCTCTCCAGTGGAAACAGGTGGGACTCCCCCAGGCTCATAGTACATGCCTGTCATCAGTAGCCCTGGACTGTCATGGTGGGTCAGTCTGCCCTAGGCTGGACTCACCAACCTGTTCATTCCCCACAGGATTGTCCTTTACAGTTCATGACTTCCCCCAACTGGAGTGCAGACAAGAGCACTGACTGACAGACCAGGTAAACTTAAAACCAGGAATAGCACCAAAGTTATCAAAGAGGCTCAGCCACGGAGATTGCATGCTGGGGATGGAAGTATCCCTGGAGTTGAGCTGTTTCCACAGCTTGTACCCGAGTTATACCTCTGGTGTCTGGGTACCAAGGTCACTAGCCTTGCTGCTTTTCTATGTTCCTGATTCCCTACTAAACAGTTCACCTTTCTGCCTACTTCTCCTGACTCCTGTACCCTGTCCCCTACTTGTCCCCTCTTGCTGCCTAGTTGAAAGACATTGGTAATCTCCTAACATGTCCTGGGCTAATACTTATCCTCAAATCGTTCTTGAAAATCTGTTCCTCTGTGAGATGGGCCTGATCTCTCCCATGGGTGGAGAAGAGGAGTAGGGAGTCCAGGTCCTGAGTCTCTCATAGGCTAAGTATTTCCCCTGAGTCATAAGTCCGGTGGGAGGCAGTGCTGTTTGATTCCAGTAAGTCTCAGACCAAAGGTCTCACTTTTTTTTTTTTTTTTTTGAGAAAGTTTCGCTCTTGTTGCCCAGGCTGGAGTGCAATGGGACGATCTCAGCTCACCACAACCTCCACCTCCTGGATCAAAGTGATTCTCCTGTCTCAGCCTCCCGAGTGGCTGGGATTACAGGCATGCGCCACCATGCCCAGCTGATTTTGTATTTTTAGTAGAGACGGGGTTTCTCCATGTTTGTCAGGCTGGTCTCGAGTTCCTGACCTCAGGTGATCCACCTGCCTTGGCCTCCCAAAGTACTGGGATTACAGGTGTGAGCCACCATGCCCAGTGAATTATACTAGTTTTTACATGCACTCTGTTTAGTTCTATGACCAAAAAAAAATTTTTTTGAGATGGAGTCTTGGCCAGGTGCAGTGGCTCACGCCTGTAATCCCAGCACTGTGGGAGGCCAAGGCAGGAAGATCACGAGATCAAGAGATCAAGACCATCCTGGGCAACATGGTGAAACCCCATATCTACTAAAAATACAAAAAGCTGGGTGTGGTGGCATGCGCCTGTAGTCCCAGCTACTCGGGAGGCTGAGGCAGAAGAATCACTTGAACCTGGGAGACAAAGGTTGGAGTGAGCCGAGATCGCACCACTGCACTCCAGCCTGGAGACAGAGCGAGACTCCATCTCAAAAAAAAAAAAAAAAAAAACATGGAATCTTGTTCTGTCACCCAGACTGGAGTTCAGTATACAATCTCAGCTCACTGCAACCTCCACCTCCTGGGTTTGAGTGATTCTCCTGCCTCAGCCTCCCTAGTAGCTGTGATTACAAGCACGTGCCATTAGTTTTTTATATTTTCAGTAGAGATGAAGTTTTGCCATGTTGGTCAGGCTGGTCTCAAACTCCTGACCCCAAGTGACCTGCCTGCCTTGGCATCCCAAAGTGCTGAGATTACAGGTGTGAGCTACTGTGCCCGACCATTCTATGAATTTTTATTATGCAGATTTATGTTACATCTGTCACCACAATCAGGGTTACAGAGCTGTTCCATCTCCACAAAGAAACTCCTTTGTGATACCACTAATAGTCACACCCCTTCCCAACCCTGACCATCACTGATCTGTCCTCCATCACTACAGCTGTGTCATTTCAAGACTGTAATATAAATGGAATAACAAAGTATGGAAACTTTGGGCTTAAGTCATTCACCGTAATGCGCTTGAAATTGATCCAAGTCGTGTGTGTCAATAGTTCATTCCTTTCTATTACTGAATAATAATAGTATGTGAATTACCACACTTTCTCTTTCCATTTATATGTTAAAGAATATTCGAGTTGTGTATCTTTTTCTGGCTATTACAAATAAAGCTGCTATGAACATTTGTATTGACTTTCTATGAACAAATTTTTATTTTTGTGTAGACATTAAGTGCTCACTTTTGGGGGGATAAATGTCCAGGAAGGAGTGCAACTGCAGGGTGTGCAGTAAGTTTACTTGTAACATGTAAAACTACCAAATTATTTCCCACTGTAGCTGTACCATTTTACATTCCCACAACCAGTAGCTGTTGGGCATTTTTTCATGGACATATTGGTTATCTGTATATCCTGTTTAGTGAAGCATTTGCTCAAGTTTTTACCCATATTTTCTAGCTGGATTTTGTTAGCCAATTTTGTTAATGTATAACATACAGTAGGCCAGGCACGATGGCTCATGCCCGAAATCCCAGCACTTGAGGAGGCTGAGGTGGGAGGACTGCTTGAGCCCAGACGTTTGAGACCAGCCTGGGCAACATAGGGAGACCCCGTCTCTATAAAACATGTTTTTAAAGTGCAAAAAACCTGCCAGGTAAGGCCGGGTACGGTGGCTCACGTCTATAATCCCAGCACTTTTGGAAGCCGAGGCGGGCAGAGCACCTGAGGTCAGGAGTTTGAGACCAGCCTGGCCAACATGGAGAAACGTCTCACTAAAAATACAAAATTAGCTGGGTGTGGTGGTGCATGCCTGTAATCCCAGCTACTCGGGAGGCTGAGGCAGGAGAATTGCTTGAACACAGGAGGCAGAGGTTGTGGTGAACCCAGATCACACCATTGCACTCCAGCCTGGGCAACAAGAATAAAACTCCATCTCAAACAACAACAACAATCTGCCACCTGTGGTCCCAGCTACTCAGGAAGCTGAGATAGAAGGGCTGCTTGAGTCCGGAAGATCAAGGCTACTGTGAGCCATGATCATGCCAGTGTACTCCAGATTAGGACACGTACACTCTTAAGACACGCGTCCCCAAACTTTTTACACAGGGGGCCAGTTCACTGTCCCTCAGACCGTTGGAGGGCCGCCACATACTGTGCTCCTCTCATTGACCACCAATGAAAGAGATGCCCCTTCCTGAAGTACGGCGGGGGGCCGGATAAATGGCCTCGGGGCCGCATGCGGCCCGCGGGCCGTAGTTTGGGGACGCCTGCTCTAAGACCTTGTCTCTGAAAATAAATGAACAAATAACATACAGTAAAATGCACTCATTTTAAATGTACAATTTGATGAGGTTAGACACAGGAATACACCTGTGCATTCGATCTGAGTTACTATCTGGTGTCTTTTCTTAGTCCAGTGTCTCTTTGCTACACCCTCATCCTCTTGCTATTATTGGCAAATATATTTTTGTTATAGGTCAAACAGTAGAATTAGGAGCTGCGTGTGGGTGCTCAGGCCTGTAATCCCAACACTTTAGAAGGCTGAGGTGGGTGGATCATTTTCGAGGTCAGTTCAAGACCAGCCTGGCCAACATGGTGAAACCCTGTCTCTACTAAAAATACAAAATTAGCTGGGTGTGGTGGCATGTGCCTGTAATTCCAGCTACTTGGCTGAGGCACTAAAATCACTTAAACCTGAAAGGCGGAGGTTCCAGGGAGCCTAGATCAGGCTGCTGCTGCACTCTAGCCTTGGCTACAGAGTAGTGAGACCCTGCCTCAAAAAAAATTTTTTTTTTTTTTTTTGAGACAGAATCTCGCTTGTTGCCCAGGCTGGAGTGCAGTAGTACGATCTCGGTTCACTGCAACCTTCGCCTCCCAGGTTCAAGTGATTCTCCTACCTCAGCTTCCGGAGTAGCTGGGACTACAGGCACGTGCTGCACGCCCACCTGGATCTCTCAAAGTCTTGGGATTACAGGTGTCAGCCACTGCGCCTGGCCCACACTTGTTTTTGTTGTTGTTTTTTGAGATGGAGTCTTGCTCTGTCACCAGACTGAAGTGCAGTGGGGCAATCTCAGCTCACTGCAACCTCCGCCTCCTGGGTTCAAGGTATTCCTAAAGTGCTGGGATTACAGGTGTGAGCCACCGAGCCCGGCCCCATACTTGTTTTTCACATCAATTAAAAAAAAGGGGAGGCCGGGTGTAGTGGCTCACTGTAATCTCAGTACTTTGGGAGGCCAAGG